TGTAAAGTTATGGCACAAATTTCTTCCATATTTCCTGTTTTAAGGAAAACACGTTTCCTTGATTTTAGGCCATGATTCCATGCATGGTTTCCTTTTTTTTGCTCCTTGTTTTGTTCCAGGTTTCCTTATTCTGGGTGCATACGCTTCTTCTCAATGCCTATATAAGGCATCAAGCATTTGGAGCAAATTGCAATTGATTCAGCAATCTACACACTTGAGAAAAATCATACATAGAGAGGAAAGATTCAAGAGAGTATTTTTAGTCTATATTTGAGAGATTATCTTTGTTCTCATGATATTAGAGAACTTCTTGTACTCTCCTATTTCTACATAGTGGAATTATCTTGCTCTTGATCGCCCGTGGTTTTTTCTCCGTCTTTGGAGTTTCCACGTAAACTTGGTGTGTATTTATTTTTCTTGTCTCTCTACTTACTTCTCTCTATCTCTAATTAACTTGATCCAGTGCTTCCGCATTCCGCTCATTCTTTCTGATACCCAACATGATGCATTTTACTATCCCTTGTGATTGAAAGAAATCAAGCTATCGATAGAAGTCTTTGTACATAAATTGGTATTCATATCAAGTTTTCAAATTAGATGTAGTTGAAGGGGAAGGACCAGAAACACATGATGGAGATTTGGTTGAATTCAATTATGTATGCAGGCGTGCAAATGGATACTTTGTTTTCAGGTAATTGCATACTGTGGAATTTTTATTAGCAATTGCACATTTGCACCGATAGTCATGATCCAAATCATTATGGGATTCTAATACATACAATATAATCATTTAATTTCTTGTTTCATATTTCCCCTCTTAATAGTCTTTAAGCCAGTTTATCTGACCTAAACGTGTCTTACTGTTGCATGGTTTCATACTCTAATTCATGATAGTACAGTGGACCAATTCAGTGGAGAAAGTAAACCTGTTATACTTCCTTTGGATGAGAACCAGGTCAGTTTCTTTCATTCAACTTGTAGGGTCCACTGAACTCTAAAATGTTTTTACCATTCAACTTTAGATAAGGTTGTATATATTTTCATTTTTTTTATTGGACACAGATGCAGTAGTCAAACAGAGTTCCTTGCCTTGGGCTTTCTACTTTGCTAAATAACTTCCAGAGTAGCAGTTGCATATTTGGATTTCAAAGTATGGTGATAACTTGTGAAACAAAAGAAAAAGAAATATGTAAAGATGCACAAGGCAATTTAGTCGAGTATGGAGGTGTTTTGTTGCTATCATCTAACTCTAATCATTGTTGATTCTTTTCTAACATTCTTCAAAGTTGAAAAAGAAAAAGAAATATATCGATGGATGCTTGTGAAATAAGTTAGTTGATGCTTGTGACAAAGACAAAGAAGTATGCTGAGGCTTGTGAAACAAAAGAAAGAGAAATATGTAAAGTGCACAAGACAATTTAGTTGAGTGTGAAAGCATTTTCTTTTCTTTCTATCTAGCTAACTTGAAGCATTGTTGATTTTTTTCACCTAGCATTCTTTAAAGTTAAGGATTCCATTAACCTTAAAATTTATGTGACTTCTAATATCCCCTTTTTATTGTGCCTCATTATTTTTCTGCATTGAGAATTTAACCAACTTGCTTGCTTGTTTGTTGTTCATAAAGAAAATATATATCATCTGATTTTCAACTGCTTGCTTGTTGTTCTTTGTAAACAATTCATAATTAAGAGGTAACATTATTCTAATTACAATTTTATATATACAGATGATAGCGGGCTTAAAGGAGGTCCTGACTGGCATGAGAGTTGGTGGTATGTTCCAAGTTATTGTCATTATTTTTCCTGGCTAACTAGCATTTCCTCACGAATTTTCCATATGCATTTTAGTCCAAACATTGGCATACAATCTATCTATTTATAATGTAATAATTTTTGAAACACTGATTATTATGCTTCCATTTCAGTGATTTAGTTATCATTGTTCTGCCATGCCAACTTTTTTGCTTGTGTCATCCTCCTGCTTCAGTCCAACTATCTTAAAACATGCCTTTCTGACAAGAGGCACGCTTACATTATCACTTCTACATTCATTGAATACTCTTAATCTCACTTTCATTCTAACTCTTCGCTCTCAATTTCTTTTCAACTATATAGTTAATCACTTACCTTACTCTTTTATCTTTTAGTAATTACACTTATTCTTTTTTACTAATATTATTCTAATGCATGTGAGATTTAAATTTTGTAATTTGTTGGAGGGTATTAGAGCCTGGATCAATAATCCATGGAACCCAATGGTTCAATTTGTAGAAACGCTGTATATTATTTACATAACCAAGTAATCTGTGATAAGTTTGCAACGATAACAGTGAGTATTTTTTCATTTATCTCTAGGAAAATTATATATATATTCTCAGAGTGATATATTTGACAGTAATAATTTATAATTATTTAATGTGTCAATCCATTTGCAACATCCTACTTTTATGTATTTTCTTCTAATTCAAAACTGTACCGTCTAGGTAAAAACCCGACTAGTGTACCATCTAGGTAAAAATCCGACTTAACTAATCCTCACTCATTGCGCGGCCTCGTAGCAAGAACGGTTGAGGAAATCCCTATGTTCTCGGGGCCCATAAGGCCCATGGACGACGAAGTATAAAACCTAAAATCCTAAGGCTAAGAAGGCAGATTACACTTTTGAATGCTCTGGCTTTGAGGCTTGACCTAGGCAGAAACCCTAGCGCACCTCGTGGCCGAAAGAGCCCATAAACAAGAAAGTATAAAACCTGAAACCCTAAGGCTAAGAAGGCAGATCACACTTTTGAATGTTCTGGCTTTGAGGCTTGACCTAGGAAAAAACCCTAGTGCACCCTTTGGCCGGAACATTTTGGCGCCCACCGTGGGGCTACGGAAAAACTTTTCCTACGCCCCAAGAAATACAAAAAACCTACACTCTACTATGGCGAGAGGCGGCACATCCAACCACGACAACAACACCCTACCATGGAGGAGATGATGGTGTTGATCAATGGCTTGAAAGAGGAGCGCGACCCAGAGAGAGAGAAGGAGAGGAAGTTTCCCGCACAAAAACAGAGTGGGCTCTGTGTTTTCGTCGGTGTAAGGTCTTGCACCGTTGGATCGAGCTGATTTTTGGACTGTAGGTTCCAGAAATGTGGTTCTTCATTCTGACCGTTCGGATTATTAACCGGAGGTTTGGTTTGGGAGAAAACAGCTTCATATCAGTAGGTGAAAGTGTTCCAACACAAAACAGAGCTGGTACTGTGTTTTAATCGGTGTGAAGTCGTTCACCGTTGGATCGGGCTGATTTTTGGACTATAGGTTCCAAAAACCTTTAACATATGACTAATTTAATATTCTTTCAGTATATTATGTTGTGTAAGCATAAGAATATCATGTTAGTAATTGTGGTTATCCTTTGTGACATTTACTTGTACTGTTAGGAAAGAGAAGAGCACTGATTCCACCTTCATCAGGATATGTAAATGAGAACTTGAAACCTATACCTGAAGAGGTTAGCTATGCATGCTCTTAACTGCTTATATAAATTGTCAATAACGATCTTTGATTATAGTACATGAATGTGAAGAGTATTCTTTTTTAATTGCAGTTTGGCCCTCGTCGCAGCCTTTTTTCTCATGCACAGGAGCCTTTGGTTTTCGAAGTTCAACTCTTGAAAATTTTGAGCCCTCCTCTACCACCTGCATTTAACTAATTCTTTTTTTTAATCTATTGTGTGTCACCATGCATTTCATTATAAAGCTTTGTAGTCTTGATCTATTTAGAACCACTCAAGATTTGATTTTAAAATTTAAAATAAGTCTAACAATTACATGAAAGATGACTTTGATTCAGCATGTCAATTTGTCAAATTTGATAAAAAAAGTCATTATCTCACATGAATCGGCACATATGTTCCTTAATTGAGAATCAATATTTAATTCTTAATTTGGTATGCAGTCATGATCAGATATACTACTTTATTTTTATAAAAATTGGTTTGAGATGAAAATAAGTTAAACTTCTTTATTGAATTTTTTTTTTATCAAATTCTTCACATCAATAACTTTTATTTCTTTTATAACCACGTACATATAATTGAATTACATTTTTTCTTTTATGATATTTTTTTGAACAATTATTAGTATGAAGTATTCCGTGATTGATAACTAATTTTCATTGAAAAACTCGGTTAACCACATTTAATAGGGTCTCTTCTTTCAATCACACTTTTTGTTTGATATTAAAAATATAATTGAATTATATTTTTCCTTATATGGTATCAACATTTAAAAAATATTTCTTTTTGTTAATTGATTACAAATTATTTTAATGATATTTAATGCAATTTATATAAATATTAAATTTTGTTTTATTACATATAATATGTATAAAGTTCAAATAAAAAATCTCGTGTTTAAAATTTTGTAAATCCACACTATTAGAAAAAATATTGTATATATTTTTCATGAGTTTTCTGGGTTTATGGATGGTATATTGCTAGATGACTCTAAAGGGGTTTCTTATGTGATGGGACTTAATTGTGGTTTTCTCATTTCTTATTCTGTCTTTTTTTTTTTTTTTTTTTTCATATTTTTTTTTTATTTCTTTTTTTTTTTTTTTTTTTCATATTTTTTTTTTATTTCTTTTTTTTTTTTTTTTTTTCATATTTTTTTTTTATTTCTTTTTTTTTTTTTTTTTTTCATATTTTTTTTTTATTTCTTTTTTTTTTTTTTTTTTTCATATTTTTTTTTTATTTCTTTTTTTTTTTTTTTTTTTCATATTTTTTTTTTATTTCTTTTTTTTTTTTTTTTTTTCATATTTTTTTTTTATTTCTTTTTTTTTTTTTTTTTTTCATATTTTTTTTTTATTTCTTTTTTTTTTTTTTTTTTTCATATTTTTTTTTTATTTCTTTTTTTTTTTTTTTTTTTCATATTTTTTTTTTATTTCTTTTTTTTTTTTTTTTTTTCATATTTTTTTTTTATTTCTTTTTTTTTTTTTTTTTTTCATATTTTTTTTTTATTTCTTTTTTTTTTTTTTTTTTTCATATTTTTTTTTTATTTCTTTTTTTTTTTTTTTTTTTCATATTTTTTTTTTATTTCTTTTTTTTTTTTTTTTTTTCATATTTTTTTTTTATTTCTTTTTTTTTTTTTTTTTTTCATATTTTTTTTTTATTTCTTTTTTTTTTTTTTTTTTTCATATTTTTTTTTTATTTCTTTTTTTTTTTTTTTTTTTCATATTTTTTTTTTATTTCTTTTTTTTTTTTTTTTTTTCATATTTTTTTTTTATTTCTTTTTTTTTTTTTTTTTTTCATATTTTTTTTTTATTTCTTTTTTTTTTTTTTTTTTTCATATTTTTTTTTTATTTCTTTTTTTTTTTTTTTTTTTCATATTTTTTTTTTATTTCTTTTTTTTTTTTTTTTTTTCATATTTTTTTTTTATTTCTTTTTTTTTTTTTTTTTTTCATATTTTTTTTTTATTTCTTTTTTTTTTTTTTTTTTTCATATTTTTTTTTTATTTCTTTTTTTTTTTTTTTTTTTCATATTTTTTTTTTATTTCTTTTTTTTTTTTTTTTTTTCATATTTTTTTTTTATTTCTTTTTTTTTTTTTTTTTTTCATATTTTTTTTTTATTTCTTTTTTTTTTTTTTTTTTTCATATTTTTTTTTTATTTCTTTTTTTTTTTTTTTTTTTCATATTTTTTTTTTATTTCTTTTTTTTTTTTTTTTTTTCATATTTTTTTTTTATTTCTTTTTTTTTTTTTTTTTTTCATATTTTTTTTTTATTTCTTTTTTTTTTTTTTTTTTTCATATTTTTTTTTTATTTCTTTTTTTTTTTTTTTTTTTCATATTTTTTTTTTATTTCTTTTTTTTTTTTTTTTTTTCATATTTTTTTTTTATTTCTTTTTTTTTTTTTTTTTTTTTTTTTTTTTTCATATTTTTTTTTTATTTCTTTTTTTTTTTTTTTTTTTTTTTTTTTATCTCCTTCGTAAAAAAAAAGAAGATATTGTATATGAGTGAAATTAATTTCACTTTAGAATTAGATTAAATAATGTCATAAATTATATTTATTAATTGTAATATGTTAATTCGATATACATTTTTTTAAATCAATAAAATTATTAAAAATAATTAATAAATTAACTTTCATCTTTGAATTCGAATCTCATATCTTCACTTCTTATTTTCTTAATCAAGTTATAACTTGTGGCCAACTTAGGCCACCATTACATTTACATGAAACCTGATAGGCTACTTCTCATAATCACCCCCACCTTCATGCCTCATCTTTTATTTTATGGGTTTAAACTTTAAACTTGTCTTACTTCGCCTTTTAATTTAATTTTATTTTTTTACATGTAACGATACATATCAATTTTTATTGTATCATATGTAAAAAATAATAATATCGTCAATCAATTAAACAAAAGAAATATATTAGGTCATTTTTAAAAATTAAGAAACTTGACTAAAATTTTTAACAATATAAGAGCCAAACAATTAAATAAAATAAGAAGCTCAAAAAAATAATTTAACTTATTCAATATTAATTGTACCAGCAGTCAAACTTCTCAAAAAATTCTCATAATTTCTTGCCCAATAGAATATATATTCTAGATTCATATTTGACTATGTTAGCTATTCTATTGTATCAAGAATCACACTATAAACTGCATAAAATAAAAATTACTCTTGCCACAAAAATAAAAATTAAACCTTTAACGACTCACCGTGGTCCCTACACTTAGTGGAATCGCACTAAAAATAGTGAACTAAGATAAATAATAAAATTGGATAACTTATAAATACAAAAACATGAAAAATATATAAGAATAATTAAGTTTTTAAATATTAAGTATTTATACAGTTATCCAAAACTACTATCTCCTAGTGTCGGTCAAGTACAAAAACTGTTATCCAAGGTGGTAACTCTAACACGAGGATCAAAACTCCCTGTCTCGTAGTGGTCACCTCAACTCCAAGCTAGCCCTGACCTGCTCCCATACCAAGTATGATCATCGCAGTTCCACCACATGAAAAATAGAAGGGTAAGCTAGAGTTCAAAAATCAATCATACAAGTACAGACAATAGTCTATACCCCACAATCATCCAACTATTAATCATATTCATAGAGTCACCATACTCTATTCAATACTACTCATGCATCCATCAATCATGAAGCAAAACACCACACACTTCATCATATTAACAATCATGCAATAAATGCATAACAATCATCATCACAAACGACCATACAGTTCAACATAAAAACCCAACTCATTCATACAACTTAAAAGCAACTTTAATACAACAACAACAACAATATACAACTTAATATTTAATGCATCATCACGCATGTACAACTGGGAGATCTCCAACAACTGAGGTTGAGCAGTCTAGGTGGCATAAACCCTACCGAATCCAGCGTTTGACCTATCTCAACCAGGTCAGGTATAGAACATCGTTAGGAACTCCGAAGAGAACCAAGTATAGACAATAATAGTTGATTGCTCAGGTGTGCCACTTAGACTCGGAGGTCCAGTACTACTGTCAGGACAGAAGGGTTTAGGTATGAGCCTACCACGGCCTTGGCTAGCCTCACCAATCCACATGTGGAGTTAGCCCACCCATTGTCCTCCAAGTACTACGCACCCTCCAGTACCTAGTCAAAGACTACATCTCTAACTAGATACCTTACTCAAATTGGTCATTCAACCATGACATGGATCGACTATTTCCATGTCGCCCCACACAGTACTAAGGGATTCAACTTTAAAACAACTTTCAACTTTAAAACAACTTTCAACTTATCACCTTAGTACTATGTATCTCAATATAGGACATATATCTTCACCATATGTCCCCAACTTTTCAACTTTACAACAATAGACACCATAACAACTTTACAAAAATAAATATATGGCTGCTTGTAATCGGTATAGCTCGGCCTGACCCTTATACCGTGGTCGCTTTATACACATGTGCCTCGACCTTGCCCACACACGGGATCAACTAAGTCCTAGAGGAGAACAACACAACGTCCACTCCAAGGGACAACTTTCCAAGGAGGGTTTTCAACAAATTGGGCTCTCAGAGCATCATAACTATCTCAATCCACACAATGGGATGAGCAACTTTGAAAACATCTCCTCTAGTCCTAGTGATCATCAACTTATCATCACAGCTTAATCAACTTAACAACTTAACAACATACAACTTTTCAGCAATAGACATCTTAACAACAATACAACAATAGGCATTATATACTAGCTTGACAACTTCTTATTCAATCATACAACTATGCAACTTTAATAATTTTAACAACATGCAAACAACTTAATTAAACAACTATAGTCATTACAATATCAATTTAATGCAACTTAACAACTTTATAAACAACTTCAGCAATATACAACATATTTAAAATTCATCTATCATGTCAACTTACACATAAACAACATAAATCAACTTAAACACCCAACAACTCAACTATTTCAACAAAAGAACAACATGCATAAAGCTTCCCTAGCTCTCAATAAACAGCATAAATCAACTTAAACACCCAACAGCTCAACTATTTCAACAAAAGAACAACATGCATAAAGCTTCCCTAGCTCTCCTGAAATTAAACAACCTACATTCTAGCTTCTCTCACCTGAAGATTGGCTCAGATTAGCCAAAAATTGAACAGAAGTAGAATTCCCCTTCGAAGCTCAACCCGAAACTTCAATCCATCCAAATCAAGCTTTCTAATATGAATTTCAAGAAAAGACAGAAGGCATTGTGGTCTAGAGGAGAAAAAAAATCATACAGAGAAATTAGAGAGAGAAAGGAGTCCACAAACCCAGAGTCCTTCTTT